CTCGTGCGAGGTTGGCCACAGCGACTCATGCTCATGTAATAAACTTTATTTCTTAAAGATAAAAACTTTACATATACATCATGAAAACATCCGAAGAATCTTAAACCTTTGCTCTGATACCAAGTTGACACGACCCGTCCCGACCCCCCCTTATCCCATAGGCTCCGGGCGCACCCATGAGACTCAGGTGATCAGAAATGAAGTCTGGTGGCCCAACCTTGAGTGAAATTCACTCCTCTGCACGATCACCTTCTAGACCTGGTGGGGGAAAAACATTTGAAAACGGGGGTGAGCTAGAATGCTCAGTGAGTGGGGAATGGGTTAGTATGTAAAACATTTCAATTACAATAAAACACTCATGCTTATAAAATTTCATCTCCGTATACATATTTTATAATATAAGCCATCTTTCATACCACCATGCAATCTCTCATGGCAAGACTTCTTTCTGAACACTATTATAAACGAATAAATACCATGTTTCTCTAAAACATCATTTCTAAGAAACGTTCATATGCGAATAACATTTACATTTATAGTTCCCATTTTTAAATAAATGATATACATATCCAAACTATCTCTCAATCACATGTGAAAACTCTCACCCAACTAGTACCCTGGGGAAAATCTGTCATACCTGGTGGGCGTCCCACACGCAGGCAGAGCGAGGGACGTACCTGTCATACCCAGCAAGATCTATCATCGCGTGGCAAGCCACTGAAACTGTCATACCTGGCGGACCACTCAACGCCCAGCAGAGCCAATAAAATCTGTCATACCCCAAGATCTATCATCACACGGGCAGAGCCACTGAAACTGTCATACGCGACCACTCAACGCCCAGGCAGAGCCAATAAAATCTGTCATACCTGGCGGACCATCAACGCCCAGGCAGAGCAAATAAATCGTCATACCGCAAGATCTATCATCGCACGGGCAGAGCCACGAAACGTCATACCTGCGGACACTCACGCCAGGCAGAGCCAATAAAATCTGTCATACCTGGCGAGACCACTCAACGCCAGGCAAGCAAATAAATCTGTCATACCCGGCAAGATCTATCATCGCATGGGCAAGCCACTGAAACTGTCATACCTGGCGGACCACTCAACGCCCAGCAGAGCCAATAAAATCTGTCATACCTGGCGGAATCCTGCATCGCTCAGGCAGAGCCAAAATCTGTATCTCTGGGGAGGGTACTTCGTAGGGTGGTTTTAGCACCACAGCATCTCATGCATAGTCTCAAGTAACATGTAAGTTAATAGCATATTCGTATGTGCTTATAAATCACATATAGACATAATATCAAAGTCACATATAAGGGTGAAACTACAATTTTCTAAACATGTTTCAGAAACTGACGGTTTACCCAGATTGAGAATTATTACTAACCTCACAAATCTGAGTTCTTTCTTTAACATTTTAACAGCCAAAATGCCTTAACTCCCAGCATTTTAAAACACCATGGAAATCAATTTTCTCAAAGACAATCCAACTGGAAGCATACAAGTGTTAACCAACCAACTTTTAGTCACTACATAACTCAAGCACCTCTCAAAATGCAATCCAGCTGAGTGCATGCAACCTAAATATCTAGCCACCATCTCAGTTTATTGAAACAGCCAAATGCATGCAAGTTTAATTAGCAAGCAATTCCCTTTAAAACCAAACAAACATTCTAGAATTTGTCCGAAAACATGCAAAGAAGAAATACCAAGCAAGCTTCACATTTTGCTCAAACCTCACCAAAATATATAAAAATGGCATACTAGAAAATACATACAAGCATAGATCTGAAATTTTAAGGAAAGTTTTTATTAAAACCACTCACCGTTTGAAGCTCGACCCTTAAGCGAAAAAATGACTGAAATCTTCTAATAATGCCCCGCTTGCCTCCCTATGTACAAATTCTAAATCCTCCTTACATAAGTCCCCAAAGGTAACGCTCATATAAAATCATTGGACACTTCACACACCAAAAGATTACTAACTTCTGCTTTAACAAAACGTCTCATAATCGAACACTCGTGCTCTCAGATTTTTCTTAAAAATTCTATTTACATTTTAAGCCATAATTTTAACAGAGCGTTCTAGAGACACTAATTTTTCCCATATTTTTCAAGTCATTCCAGAATCATAACTATTTAAAACACAATTTCCTTTCAACTCATTCAAATCTGTCCCCTGTTTCCAAAATTGAGGTACTGACTTAAAAATTCATAACAATTCAGCCCTTAATCCAAACCTCATGAAACTCTCCAGAATTAAACTAGACACATAGGATCACCAGAATTTAAATCACTCAATTTGGATAGAATAGATGCATCAAATCATTTTCCAAAAATACTGTTCTGCAGAAAACGAAATTCAGGATTCACAAGGCAACTCAAAAATCCATATAAAATTCAATCCTTCGAATTTTTTAAGTGAAATAAATTTCTAAACACTCCTCAAGAGTCTACAACAACATATCCAAAATTTGGCTTCAAAAAAAAACCCAAAATGCAAACAATTTTCGGAGTTCAGATGGTCAGATTTCTGTACAATAAACCCTTACATCAAAATCATATCTTTACCCATTTTTGTTTAAAATAACCTATGTTCTACCCACACCAATTATTAAAATCAATCTCCCTATTTTAGTTTTGTTTCATGAATTTATACCAAATCATAGACAAAACAATCCAAAGAGAGTTTTGAATCATAAATCACCAAAAAGAGGAAATATCAAGCTTTACTAACCTCCCATTTGCTCGATCTTCCTCACTCTCCGATCACCGGAGTTTTGCTCGCCGACGGCCCTTTTTTCAGCCACCTCCGTCGGTCTCCTATCTCCTCTCTCCCTCTATTCTTGGTTTCATCTTTCTCTCCCTTCTTTTTCTTTTTCTTTCTTCCTTCTTCCTCTCCTTCTCTTCTTCTTCCTTTCTCTCTTCTTTGCTTCTTCTTCCCCGTTTTTCTTTCATTGAATGATCACTATTCATCAAAATATCTGAAAATTTCAATTAGTCCTCACTTATTCGACTATCACCTTGTACTCCCCAAAACTTTCAATTATTACACTTTACCCCAGAATCACAAAATAAAATTTAAAACTACATTAAAAAAAATACGGGGTATTACATTCTTCCCCCTTAAAAATTTCGTCCTCGAAATTTACTCACATGAAGAATATGGTACTAGCTCTTCTAAAGTCTTGCATTTTGACACTCCTTTAATCATATGCTCATTCCAGGATATCTCACCAATGTTACCAACTGCCCCTTATAAAATTATTCGATTTAAAATACTCTTGCACCCTTTCACATGGTCCTATTTGCCTTTGCTTCCTTGAGATTAATTTCTCTCTCTTTATATCATCTTGCTTTTAATACCTTGTCTCAAACACTCTACTAACCTTTATATCAATACATCTATACCTTATTGGAAGAAGGATACTTATTTTCTCATTCATTCAAGTAACATGTCACTTTATATACTCTCACAACTTCTTTCCCCAAATAAGATTTTCACAATTAACGCTTCCTTCTATTAACTCAATTAATCATTTCATCTTGTAATTCTTCTCACCATAAGTATCTCTCATGATCACTCATTAGCTTAGAAGCCTTTAATATAGTTCTTCCCCTCGACACTTGACGTGAGGCCTATGGTTTTCGCAACCATTTAAATCAGAAATTTCCATAATCACTTTTATTTCATTCTCATCGCGTGCTTGTGTACTGAATCTTTGAGACACCACTTATAATATCAGCCTAACATTAACTCTAGCATTTCCTTCCATACCCTTATTCTAGTACACACTCTCAAGAACAATGAACCTTAAAGTAGTGAGATCTTCTATTTTACACTCCAGGGTCCTAGAGATATAGACCCTTGCCTCACCACGGATTACTCTTATATGGCTTCGTTCATACTTGCTAGTCAGCAAGGCAAGGTTCCTTCATTCAAGCTCTTTAATCTCCCAGTTCTTCCCTCAATCGGTCCATTCCTTCCTTGACCCCCCGTAAGTCATTACATTTAGATTATACAAGTCATCATCGTTATTCCCAGATGCTACAATACTCGTAGCAGAGACTTCCTTTTTATGCTTAACATAATCAATACACCCTGAATTAGGAATAAAACCAATAATATTAAACTCTATCCTATAATGAAACTCATCACTACTTCAACTCCAAGAACAGATCCAATGATTTTATTGCCATCATTCTTAGGAAAACTTCTCATTCCAAATAACTATGAAACCATAGTTGGACCTGCCCTCCAACTGATGATAATTTCTTTTTACTGAGTGGCTCTCTAGAGCTCTCTGCTTCATTCTTCTCTTGGAAGCAGATTCAGGAACTGACATCATATCATACTTCTTACTTTGCTTCTACCAATAGCAATAAACTTTTCACTAATAATAACAATGCATTACTGAAAGTACCATTTTCTTATCTCCAATAACAAATTTCGAGGGTGTCAATAAACCGTGCACATTAACCTAATTCGATGCAAACAGTGATAATCACGGTCCCCCCTCGTGAATAGATTCCACTTCCAAATTTCTGAACAATTTCTAACCAATTGTTTGTCCTTTGCATGAACCACAATCCTTCACTAAATTTTTCCAACACCCTCAACATCCTTGTCCTAATTTTTGAATCAGTCTTATGGTCAAACCTATATTTTTCAGTCCCTCATGCATGTGGAACGTTATTCCACACCTTTTCTCTGCAACCTTCATATGCTTTTAGACGAAGTTCCAAACTCATCATTTTTCTTTATTCCCTGGTCGCATATTCTTTGAGATCAAGGAGATCTTGATCCCAGATGATTCTAGAATATCACCATCCAACATACTGTTGTATGCAACCCATGATAACTCCTCTTCCATTAGTTTCACATTAGTCTCCACACTCTCAGGGCATTTCCTCACACCGACGAGGTAAAGCTTCATATGCACGGCTACATAGTTTCCACAAGATCAAGAATGAGACCAGAATGTACCAATTTGTTCATCCTCCTCGCATATGTGCTCCAAGTTCACCAAACTGATCATCAGCTTCTACTGTATCCTCAGACAGGCGAACTGCATCCAGCTTTTGTTTCAGTACTTCTATGGCATTGAGTACCATCTGAGAAGGTTTAATTGCACCGGTTCATTCAACTGTGAATATGAAGATGTCTTCTCCGCCATAGATCTCTATGAGTCCTGGCTTCCCCATGGCTTCTGCTAGCTTAAGCACTTCATCATCGTAAGTGTATGCCTCAGGATCAACCACCAGAACCTAAAAACTTTTAGAATCACTTCAAAAACTCAGATCATAATTTTAACAGACGCAATGTATCGAAGGAAATGATTATGCCATAAGCAAGTTTGAATAATTATACATAGGAATTTTGGCAGATAATTAGAAAAATAAAAATAAACCAGGCCCCAAAAAGTACTGAATGTTACTTTTCCAAGCCAAAATCACATTGACTTATTCACAAAATCATGCACCATGCTCATAAATGCCACATTATTGTTTCTTGAAATTCCCCAATCGTAAACATGTGCACTCCCGTGATTACTAATTTTGCGTATATTTCCTACATATTGCATACAAGTACACTGGATAAACCACCATAACAGCATCCACAAGCTAAAAATCCCACAATCACCAATTCAATGCCTGAACATAAGCCCAATAATACCATCAATATCCCCTCGAAATAAAAAGCTTCATATGTTGGCCATCATAGACAGAAATAAACATTTTCTCTTCTCCGATCACTATCCCCGATTGAACATATGTATTTTCTTTCTACTGCACCTCTCCATCTCACTCACTGACACACCCCTACAAATGAGCTGACCTGTTTACCGCTCCAATAAATTTCTTACTTTTTTATCTTGTCCCCCTGTTAATGTCATTTATATTATATGCATCATATGCAATGATATAGAGAAAAGAAGGGAATAGAAAAAGAAATAGAAGAAAATAATAAATTAACACATTCAAATATCCCAAACTCTAAAAATGAGATTAAAGCGGTCCACAAGTTGCAGCAATCCCAGGGCAACAGCTTCATTTAAAAATCTTAATTAAGAATTCTAAAATCGTGAGAAAAAAAAAAAATGAAACGTAATGATGCTCTGATATACAGAAAAGACCTCACAAAATTTCTTCAATGTTATCCTTTGATGACATTGACAATACACCAAAAAGGTCTCTAACAACATCTATACCGTTCATCTTCACTAGTGTAAACCACTCAAAAATAAAATTAAAATCACAAACATTCTGCATCTAATTCTTTTCTCTATCTTGGGCAGATCTCTAACCGTCATTCAAATCAGACATATCAGCTAAGACTAAAATTAGTTTTTTATGTCTTGTCAGGGCAAAATGACAATTCCATACTGGAATACCTTTTACAACAACAAGCATCTTTTAAACTGTAACATGCAAGGAGAATATATGAAAGTGCTACTAAAAGGAATAAGATTAATTAGAATCATTTTTGACACGACCCGTCCCGACCCCCCTTATCCCATAGGCTCCGGGCGCACCCATGAGACTCAGGTGATCGAGACGTGCCATGTGAAAAAACTATAAAACCTGTTTATAAATAAAATATCATAAAAATGTAACGTCATTTGCATATAAACAAATGCAATTGGAATTTTCACAAAATGAAATTTATGGTATCAGATTTTTCCATATCTTTAATAATCCAAACAAGAAATAAATACATGATGAAAGAAACATAAACTTTGCAGCGGCAAACAAAATACAACTATAGACTTATGATGAAATGAGTCGTGTGGCCCAACCTTGAGTGAAATTCACTCCTCTGCACGATCACCTTCTAGACTGGTGGGGGGAAAGAAAAACATTTGAAAAACGGGGTGAGCTAGAATGCTCTGAGTGGGAAGGTTAGTATTAATAAAACATTTCAATATACAATAAAACACTCAGCTTATAAATTCATCTCCGATACATATTTATAATATAGCCATCTTTCATACACATGCTGAAATCTCTCATGGCAAGACTCTTTCTGAACACTATTAGATAAACGAATAAATACCATGTTTCTAAAACATCATTTCTAAGAAACAGTTCATATGCGAATAACATTTACATTTATAAGTTCCCATTTTTAATAAATGAATATCATATCCAAACTATCTCTCAATCACATGTGAAAACTCTCACCCAACTAGTACCCTGGGGAAAATCTTTCATACCTGGTGGGCGTCCCACACGCAGGCAAAGCGAGGGACGTACCTGTCATACCAGCAAGATCTATCATCGCGTGGCAGAGCCACTGAAACTGTCATACCTGCGGACCACTCAACCGCCCAGGCAGAGCCAATAAAATCTGTCATACCCGCAAGATCTATCATCACACGGGCAGAGCCACTGAAACTGTCTACCTGGCGGACCACTCAACGCCCAGGCAGAGCCAATAAAATCTGTCATACCTGCGGACCACTCAACGCCCGCAGAGCAAATAAAATCTGTCATACCCGCAAATCTATCATCGCACGGGCAAGCCACTGAAACGTCATACCTGGCGACACACTCACGCCAGGCAGAGCAATAAAACTGTCATACCTGGCGGACCACTCAACGCCAGCAGAGCAATAAAATCTGTCTACCCGGCAAGATCTATCATCGCATGGGCAGAGCCACTGAAACTGTCATACCTGGCGGACCACTCAACGCCCAGGCAGAGCCAATAAAATCTGTCATACCTGGCGGAATCCTGCATCGCTCAGGCAGAGCCAAAATCTGTATCTCTGGGGATGGGTACTTCGTAGGGTGGTTTTGCACCACAGCATCTCATGCATAGTCTCAGTAACAGTGAAGTTAATAGCATATTTCGTAGTGCTTATAAATCATACATATATGACATAATATCAAAAGTCACATATAAGGGTGAAACTACAATTTTCTAAACATGTTTCAGAAACTGACGGTTTAACCCAGATTGAGAATTATTACTACCTCACAAATCTGAGTCTTTTCTTTAACATTTTAACAGCCAAAATGCCTTAACTCCCAGCATTTTAAAACACCATGGAAATCAATTTTCTCAAAGACAATCCACTGGAAGCATACAAGTGTATTAACCAACCAACTTTTAGTCCAACTACATAACTCAAGCACCTCTCAAAATGCAATCCAGCTGAGTGCATGCAACCTAAAATATCTAGCCACCATCTCAGTTTATTGAAACAGCCAAATGCATGCAAGTTTAATTAGCAAGCAATTCCCTTTAAAACTCAAAACAACCATTCTAGAATTTGTCCAAAACATGCAAAGAAAGAAATAACCAAGCAAGCTTCACATTTTGCTCAAACCTCACCAAAATATATATAAAATGGCATACTAGAAAATATCATACAAGCTGATCTGAATTTTTAAGGAAAGTTTTTATTAAAACCACTCACCGTTGAAGCTCGACCCTTAAGCCGAAAAAATGACTGAAATCTTCTAATAATGCCCCGCTTGCCTCCCTATGTACAAAATTCAGTAAATCCTCCTTACATAAGTCCCCATAAGGTAACGCCTCAATATTAAAATCATTGGACACTTCACACACCAAAAGATTAACTAACTTCTGCTTAAACAAAACTGTCTCATAATCGAACCGGTTGCTCTCAGATTTTTCTTAAAAATTCTATTTTCATTTTTAAGCCATAATTTTAACAGAGCGTTCTAGAGACACATAAGTTGTTCCCATAATTTTCTCAAGTCATTCCAGAATCAATAACTATTTAAAACACAATTTCCTTTCAACTCATTCAAATCTGTCCCCTGTTCCAAAATTGAGGTACTGACTTAAAAAATTCATAACAATTCAGCCCTTAATCCAAACTCATGAAACTCCAGAATTAACTAGACACACATAGGATTCACCAGAATTTAAATCACTCAATTTGGATAAGAATAGATGCATCAAATCATTTTCCAAAAATCATGTTCTGCAGAAAACGAAAATTCCAGGATTCACAAGGCAACTTCAAAAATCCATATAAAATTCAATCCTTCGAATTTTTAAGTGAAATAAATTTCTAAACACTCCTCAAGAAGTCTACAACAACATATCCAAAATTTGGCTTCAAACAAACCCCAAACATGCAAACAATTTTCGGAGTTCCAATGGTCAGATTCTGTACAATAAACCCTTACATCAAAATCATATCTTTAACCCATTTTGTTTAAAATAACTCTATGTTCTACCCACACCAAATTATTAAAATCAATCTCCCTATTTTAGTTTTGTTTTCATGAATTTATACCAAATCATAGACAAAACATCCAAAGAGAGTTTTGAATCATAAATCACCAAAAAGAGGAAATATCAAGCGTTACTAACCTCCCATTGCTCGTCTTCCTCCACTCTCCGATCACCGGAGTTTGCTCGCCGACGGCCCCTTTTTCAGCCACCTCCGCGGTCTCCTATCTCCCTCTCCCTCTATCTTGGTTTCTCTTTCTCCCTTCTTTTTCTTTTCTTTCTTTCCTTCTTCTCTCCTTCTCTCTCTTCTTCTTCTTTCTCTCTTTTCTTTGCTTCTTCTTCCCCGTTTTTCTTTTCATGAATGATCACTATTCATCAAAATATCTGGAAAATTTCAATTTAGTCCTCACTTATTCGACTATCACCTTGTACTCCCCAAAACTTTCAAATTATTACACTTTACCCCAGAATCACAAAAAAAATTTTAAAACTACATTAAAAAAAATACGGGTATTAACTTCTTCCCCCTTAAAGAATTTCGTCCTCGAAATTTACTCACATGAAGAATATGGTACTAGTCTTTCTAATAAGTCTTGCATTTTGATCACTCCTTTAATCATATGCTCATTCAGGATACTCTCCCAATGTTCACAAACTGCCCCTTTAAAATTATTCGATTTAAAATACTCTTGCACCCTTTCACATGGTCACTATTTGCCTTTGCTTCCTTGAGATTATATTCTCTCTCTTTATATCATCTTGCTTTTAAATAACTTGTTCTCTAACACATCTAACTAACCTTTATATCAATACATCTATTACCTTATTGGAAGAAGGATACTTAAATTTTCTCATTCATTCAAGTAACATGTCACTTATAATACTCTCACAACTTCTTTCCCCAAATAAGATTTTCACAAATTAACGCTTCCTTCTATAACTCAATTAATACAATTTCATCTTGTAATTCTTCTCACCATAAGTATTCTCTCATGGATCACTCATTAGCTTAGAAGCCTTTAATATAGTTCTTCCCCTCGACACTTGACGTGAG